TATGTCCTTAAGCGCCATGTCATTAAAAGCCACAAGATGACACAAACCACGAAAGTCCTCAACATAGTCCTCTATAGCCCTGTTACCTTGACGAAGGCAGAGGAGGCGTGAAACTGCTGGGTTCATGGTAGTGGTCATGTATTCTGTAACGAGCAATCCACTGAACTGCAAGCTGTGATGAACCCAAGTGCAGCTTTATTTACAAAAGTGATCCTAAATCCAAACATAATCCAAAACAGAGACTTGACTTGAACAGACATGATTTGAACAGACTTGACTTGAACAGACTTGACTTGACTTGACTTGAACAGACTTGAACAGACTTGACAAACTCACCGACAGCAGGTTTACATTCATCAATACACGACAAGAGACAATGGCAACAAGAGGGCTACTTATAGCAAACACTAAGGGACAACATGACAAGAATCAACCAATGAGCAAACAGAACTGAGAGTCACATGACAGGACAATAACCAATCAGAACATAACACATTGAACAGTGGAACCAATAGCAGGAATACAAGAGGGCAAGGGAAGCTTGACACTAACAGCATAAATAAATTACAAAATAAAAGACATGAAAACAAGAACATGAAACAAACCCCCAAACCCGGGGGATGATGGAACTGTTCAGTAACTCACATTCTTCAAAATATCTTATTTTGTGTTTTGAAATGTATAGAGGTTTGGAACAACTAGTAAATAATAAGAGAATTTCATTTTTGGGTGAACTATCCATTTAAGGTAAAACTTTTTCAAAACCATATGAAACCAACTTGGATTCAAAAGTTCATTTCTAATAACTGGTTCATGAGTGTGTTTTCCCCCAGCAGTAAGTATCTTACTCTGTGTATCATGAATGACTTGATTTCAAACCCAGCTCAGAGCAGCAGGTGATCTGGGAGCTGGAGGTGGAGAACATTCAACCATGTGGTGCCTAAACCGCAGGGTAGGCGAGAGACACTGGCCCTTAACTGATCTGCCAATTATTCAGTCCTGATATCCCAGCAGCAGGTGCATTTAGCAGGAATGAGAGAAACGGAAAGAAAGAGAGAGGAAAGCAGAGAGGCCCCTACCATGAGTTAACATCTCTGCTTTTTCCTAAATCACTTGTTCTCTGTATTTTTATCAGCATGGTGGCTTTTCTCCTGTCAGATCTCCCATTTAATTCCCTTCGTCTCTCTATCGCTAGTCCTCAGATAGTTTCTCTTCTCTGTGGTAATCCATCCTATTCTACATGGTAATGGTCCATCAGTGGTGATCAATATTTCATACAGAAATAACCCAACTTGAGTGTTCTTGTCTAACTCCCCTCCCCCTCCCCCCAGCCCCGGGGTCATCAAAACTGTTATTTCAGGAAAAAGAGCCCTGAGCATGCATTAGGACGTGGAGGAGAAGGGCCAGACATCAATCATTCATGATACACTGCTGCCTGCCAGGAAAAACACAATGATTTATGCAACACTTGTTATGACGCCTCCGTACAGTCGGGTCATTGCGCTGTGATGCTTCGTGACTTGCAATGATGGAGCAATAAGGCATTTTACAGTAAACACCTCTGATGTCTGGCTTTGACTGAGATCAGATGCGCTTCCTTATGGTTAGAGATATGACATAGCATGCTTTCGTACATACCTAATAATTTAACATAAGAACCTTGATTTTTGTTTTCCAAGTAACATTCAGGTTTTTTTTTTTTTATAACGTATTATATTTTGTACATTTTTATTTTATTTTATTTTATTTATCTAGACCATATGTATATATGTACAATTTTATTTTTTAAAACTGTTTTTACTTTTAGCTTATATAAGGCATTACATAATTTTGATTACCACAAAAAATAAATTTACGGATTTAAAAGCAAATATTTTACAAAAGCACTTTATTTCTTCTGTTAAAAGGAATATTTAAGCTGTAAGGTTTTCCTCACTTTTAGTCATTTTAGGGTTTATGGTGTTGCAGCAATTTTGTTTGGATATAAAATTTGGTATATCTTCACATAAAAGGTTACTCTGTGATTTTTTTTCACAATAAAATCATGTTAACACATATTGTTTATATCTTGTGGCAATACTAATAAAATAGTGATTATTTTGTAACATTTATGTATTGGCAATATTTATATTTTATTGTAACTCTTCAGTCAAACCTTCCTTAGATCAGCATTCTCTCACACCATTATCCGTACTAGTTGATGGTTATTAGGGAGTTTGCTCAGGGCATTTGGCAGGAATACTAGACTGTCCAGGAAAGCATCTCTGACAGTTTGTGTGCTTCATTGCAAGGTAGCTCTAAAATAAATTATGTTTTACCCAATATGTATACAATATATGTGAAAATACATAAAATATTGTGCATTGTGGTTGCCAGATTGCCCTCCCTCCTTATCACTCCCTGATCATCTATACGTAATAATAATAAACAAATCTCTGAGAGAAAGATGGGATTTTTTAAATGGGATCTTTGTGAGAATGGTTATCAGGGATATTTGGAGTTACACTTACACTTACTAACTCCAGTGGATATGATGTCAGTCTCTTTCTCAGTGCCAGCTTGGTGCACCTGCTCACATCTGTCTTATTCTGGGATTTCTCTGAGAAAGTTACCAAAGCAAGGATTTATTTGTGTGAGAGCGTGCATGTGTGGAAGATCTGTGTGTAACCTTTTACCCCATACTCTGTTGCAGACATTTCTTAAGACCATATGTTTTTAGTCCTTTTTGCAGTGGATTCCACCAGTTTTCAAGAAAAAATCCAAACACCACTATAAATTTTTTGCACAAATTTTTTGGTTATAGAACACATAATGGTAAATTAACTCACACACTATATGTGCTACAGACATGAATGACATTGAATAGAGGTGTGCTATTATTTGTCTGAACATTCAGAACAATGATTCTAGCTTGGTGTAAGGAAGGACCTAAACCAGATCTACAGATCAGACCTATGGATTTGGGGGTGGGATCTTTTGACTTAAACAACTAAGCAGCTACACAGAAACCACTCAAAACAGAAACCACATAGCAATGTTACAAAAAAAACCTACTCAGAAACCACATAGCAGCACTCTGGCAAACAGCCAGAACACCCTAACAACACCGTATACACCACCCAGTAGACCTTAGAAATGTGTCATAATCCAATTAGAGCACCTTAGTACTACACATATGCAGCACACTTCATAGCAATGTTGCAATAAACACTCAGAAACCCTTAGCAATCGCATATCAATGATCTGGCAACCACCCAGAACAGCCTAACAACAGCCAAGAAACCACATAGCAGCATGCTTAAAACTACTAATACACTTTAACACTGTTACATTTTTGCACTTGAATACACCATTTTTCTGCAAGCGAAAAAAAGTTACTTTCACACTCACATTGGATTATAAATTAAAGTTCTACATTTTTAAGTATTAAACGTATTAAAAATATATTCCTTTCCAAGTCTCTAATCAGGGAGGATTAAAACAGCTCATGTCAAACACCTCCACAGGGCTTTTTGAAGTAGCAACCTTTCGTCTCCTTTTCCACATGTTCTTTCATGTATCTGAGGAGCACAGTGTCGGCAGCAGTCCTCTGCCACTTTCTGTCAAGTTTAGTCAAGAACTCTGCTCAGATAGGCTATAGAAGTCCATCAAAGTGGAGTTCAGACTCTTCCTGCTCCAGACACCAGCTCTGTGCTGCTCTTAAAAGCTCTGAGTGACGAAGACGTGGAGCTGGTGCTGTCAAGGTCTTGGCTGTCTGACCGTCAGCAGTGGAATTAATGACTGTTCTGCAGCCGTTTGATGTCTGTCTACTTTCAAGAGCTCACAAGATGTCATATTCTGCCCCACATACGCAATCCTACCCTTAAATGATACTGGTCAGATCAAAGCTCTTCAGCTGTTAAAGCAGACGAAGTTACGGCACAGAATGCACCTTCAGGAAGAGCTTGTTTCGTCCAGTGAATCAACAGAAACTTAACGAGTGTGACATGGTTTGCATATAAACAGCCACTCTGTGTCAATTGTGGCAGTTTGACAGTGTGGTTAGTGATGTGAGTGTGTGGCACAGTGAAAGTGTGTGTGCATGTGTGTGTGTGTGCTGCTCTCCGCAGTGGTGTGCGGTGATGTGGGACTGACAGACATGGACTGTAGCCCAGACCTCCCTGTGTAGGAGGCTTTGGGCAGCGCAGGCCTGATTAGGCAACATGAGGCAGGCTGAGTGTTGACATCATCCGCTTAATAACTCCTTCACCGTTCAGACACACCACCCACATGCACACATGCTTCCTGCCGATCATTACCGCATATGCCCTGGGATAATAAACGTGACACCTACAGCCAGAGTTTGGCTGATAGGACGACACCTGTCACCAATTCCCTCACTGTGGCCACTATGGTGTATTGAACATGCGAAACCAGAAGATGGACCTTAAATTAAAGGGACAGTTCAGGCAAAAATGAACATTCTGTCATCATTTACTCACCCTCATGTCATTTCAAACCTACTTTTGACCGTACAATGAAAGTGGGGTCCAAAACAACATTCGGATCCTCCATCGACTTTCACTGTACAGAGGTATTTTTCAAAACAGAAGAAAATAAACTACCTTTCAAAAATTTTTTGGTCAGTCATATATTATTTTTTTTTAAAGTCTTTGTCTCTTTAAAGCATCTTAAAGGATTAGTTCAATCCAGAATTAAAATTTCCCCATAATTTACTCACCCCAATGTCATCCAAGATGTTCATGTCTTTTTTTTCTTCAGTCGAAAAGAAATTAAGGTTTTGAGGAAAACATTCCAGGATTTTTCTCCATATGGTGGACTTCAATGGGTTGAAGGTCCAAATTGCAGTTTCAATGCAGCTTCAAAGGGCTCTACACAATCCCAGCTGAGGAATAAGGGTATTATCTAGTGAAACTGTCTGTCATTTTCTAAAATAAAAAAAATAAATATCTATAGACTTTTTAATCACAAATGCTCGTCTTGCGCTAGCTCTTTCCAACATGTGTGAAGTTGTGGACGTGCATCGCAGAGCTAGTGCAAGATTAGCATTTGTGGTTAAAAAGTATATAAATTAGAATTTTTTTTGTTAGATAAGACCCTTATCCCTTGGCTGGGATTATGTAGGGCCCTTTGAAGCTGCATTAAAACTCTTAAAAGTCCACTATATGGAGAAAGATCCTGAAATGTTTTCTTCAAAAACCTTAATTTATTTTCGAATGAAGAATGAAAAACATGAACATCTTGGATGACATGGGGGTGGGTAAATTATCAGGAAATTTTAATTCTGGAGTGAGCTAATCCTTCAAGGTGTGGCATTTATTGTTTTACCAGGACATTCACAGAACTTGGTAAATTACACCATTTTGATAGGAATCCACTAAAGGATGCATGTTTTTGATCAAAAATGAAGAAAAAACATAGTATTGTGAAATATTATTAAAATTTGAAATACTTGTTCTTTTTTAGTATCTTGTAAAATATAATGTATTCCTTTAGGTGAACTATCCCTTTAAGATTGTATTGCTTATGCAATTCCTGTGTTTTATACACCCTTCTCAGTTTTCACAGTGGCAATGCAATTTCTTCCAGAAATAACAAACACTTGGCCTCTGATTTAACTTGAGTCACATTATCGGCTCAGACTTGTCAGAAGTGCGGTCTTCATTGCATCCATATAAAACCGGCGTATCTTGTTCAATCCAAGACTGTCTAATAATCCCTCTTACATTCCTCAGCTCTCCAAGTCAAACATGTCTGCCTCTCCGCAGCTTCGCTGAGGTGGCCTGGCTTCTTTGGGCCCTTTGTGTGTGTGGTCCTTACCAGGGAGGCAACCGCACGGCTTGAGCCCGTCCTCTGTGGCGGCCCGCGTGCTGCTTCTGGGACTCGCCGTGGCGCGCTCTCTCCTCCTGCCAGGCCACCCCTCCCTTCTCAATGAGAGACGTCGACACCAAATATTTACACAAGAAACTGCTGGAATGCAGGGCTGTTGTAACTGTACGCTGTTCAAAATCCTGTTGAAATAATAGCCAGAGGTGCTTTGACTCATCAGAGAACCTGAGCAGGGTTCCTTTGATGTGGCTATGAATGTCGTTCCGTTAAATCAGCCATATAACGTTCCTCTCTTTTGATTTGTTTAAAAGTGGTATCTGTTTGAGAGTCTATCCTGTGTTGCTGTTTAACAGTATATCTTACTTGTCACTTTATAGCTTTGTTTGATTTTGGTTTGATTTGATTTTTTAATACTGGGGTGATGCATTAGTTTGCTCTCACTTATTTACCTACACTGCTGTTTAAAAATTTGGGGTTAAGATTTTTGTAATGTTTTTGAAAGAAGTCTCTTATGCGCACTAATGCTGCATTTATTTGATTATTGAGAAATATTATTACATTTTAAAAGAACAGTTTTCTATTGTAATTTAATTTAAAATGTGTGGTTTTTTTTCCTGTGATGGCAAAGCTGAATTTTCAGCAGTCTTCTGTTTACTCTGTGTCACATGATGCTTCAGAACATTTCTTATTATCAATGTTGAAAACAGCTGGGCTTGTTATATTTTTATCAAACTCATGATATATTTTTTCAGGATTCTTTGATGGAAACAAAAAAAGGTGAAAAAACATAATTTATTTGAATTTTATTTTTTTTTCCTGTGATGGCAAAGCTGAATTTTCAGCAGTCTTCTGTTTACTCCAGTCTTCAGTGTCACATGATGCTTCAGAACATTTCTTATTATCAATGTTGAAAACAGCTGGGCTTGTTATATTTTTATCAAACTCATGATATATTTTTTCAGGATTCTTTGATGGAAACAAAAAAAGGTGAAAAAACATAATTTATTTGAATTTTAACATAAACAAATTAAATGGGAGTATATTAAACATCAAAAGAGATATATTGTGGATTGTGGAAGCTGAGAAACATATTCATGCCTACTGTATGCACATATTAATGTATACTAACTTATTAAGAAAGGCACAAAGAATAATGAATTAGACTGACTATCCAGCAAGCTGAAGAATAAAGGATGAAGCAGTATTTTTCATATATTTATATTTTGAATAAAAAAAATACAGTGCAATGGTGAAGCCATTATAATTGTTAACTTTATGAATTAAATCACACAGTTTGATTTCATGTTTGAATCAAATTGGCTAAATGGAAACAAGTTACAGTTTAAGCTCTTCCCACATTTGGTTCTATCTGAATAGAGCAACAGAAACAGATTTTGTCATTGCAGTATAGATAAAGAAACGGATAATGGTTTCACTGCACATTCCTATTACTGTGTATGGCAAATCCTTCAAGTTCCACAAGATAAACAATAAGAAACACACCATCTGCAAAAGCATCATGGAAATCATGAAAATATAAGGTTCTTGTGTGTTGTTGTTGGTTTCACGCTCTTCAGCTGTGCAGTGTGCTGAGAGAGAGTGCAAAGCTCTGATTGGCTGAGTTGATGCTGCTTTCAGTGTGAACAGAAAATTGTGTTACAAGAGGCCTGAATGAATAGACAGCTAGCAAGGCCAGACCAAATCTGGCTACATCTCTTGGTTTATTAAAAGGCATTTCTGCTTCTTGAAATCTGTCAGAGTCTGATATTACCTGAATCCATTTCTTCTTATCTATGTGAACCATTGCTAGGGTACAAAAGGGGCTCAGTGAAACAATTTATGTTATAACAAGATAATGCCTCTCTCATTGCATTCATCAATTTTCATGTGTTGGCTGTATCTCACCATGCCTTCCCACACAATACTTCATGTGTCAGTCTATTGTTCTGCTGTAAGTGATGACGGTGACCTTTGTTATCAGCCTATTATTTCTTTGTCTTTGTCCTGCCATCTTGTACCTTTGGGTCTGTCAGCTAAGCGTGAACTAAACCATTTAATCTCAGATAGTGTACAGCGTAGTTATGCTTGACATGTATCCAGCGAGGACTAACTAGAAATAAACTAAAGCTGAGGGGGAAAAAGAACAGTATCCATTAATTTTACAGAGATTTTCGTTAACCCTAAAACATAACGCAATGCAATGCAATGCAAAAAAAAATAATCAAAATACAGGTAAAACAGTGTGATGTACTGGAAAAAAAATTGTGGTAGAACAATTTTCATTCAGTGCTAGTAAATTTCACAGATAATGAAGAAATGGCAAGTAACACATCAAATTAAATGTGAAAGGCTGAATAGGATTTTCTTGTAAAATCATTTTACAGTGTAGATGCTCTTTTTAGATAGCAGAATCTATCTGTTTTCATTGTATTACCTGTGTTCTTGTGATCCAGAGCTAAAACTCCAAACTGATATGGAAATTTTAGTCAATGCCAATAACCTATCATTTTTTATATTTTGGAACTTGTAACCAATACATTGTCCAATCTACATTTTTGTGAGACTGATTGCAAAAACAGTTCAGATTTCTATGTGCTTCAAATTATACTAAACATTGCTTACTGTACATTTGAAAAGAAATTAGCTTTTAATTTTTAGACTTATACAACTGCAAAAACAAACTCTTTTTTAATGTAATCTTTTAACAGATGGGCCAACATTGAAATGTCTATAACAAGGAATAATTAGAAAAGGAATTTGACTGTACTATGCATAAAAAATTGCAAATTTTGTTTTATTTTATCAAATATTTTATTTGTGTTTAAAAATAGATAAGCCATCTAAAATAATGTGAGATCATATTGTGATTGTGGCTATAATTAATTGACTTTAATATATCATCACATTTTACTTATTGGACCGATAACGATAATATTATATTCTGATATTCATCGGCTGATACCGATATGGCTGCCAAATGTATCTATAGGCATTTTGTTAAACAGAAAATGTGCTTTTAAAAATAGTTAATTCAGACTGCCTACATTCCCTTCCTTCACTTAGGTCATCCGAAAAAATCCCAAACCTGGTATTTATGTCATTCTGAACAAATGGTGTTCTACATCAGAGTGCTCCTCATTTATTACACCCTCATTTGACACCCCCATTTTCAGAGGCCCACTTTTCCCCTCCAGCAGCTCTCACAGGACAGGACAGGAGCAGGGCAAACTCACCCTGCATCAACTTCAATGTAAGCCTTCTGCTTCAGTTATCTGTCAGAGAAACGTAAACACTAAGGAAAGCTTGCACGCACGTGGAGCACGCTAAACCAGCTCTGCTGTGAATGTTTATAAGTGCTTATTATAGCGGTTAATGCCCCTTTGTGATTTACAGTCTGTTCTAGAAATTGAATGTTTAACTTTGGCCAATAAAGCAGTGTGAATCAGCTCATGACTCACGTTTTCTGACTGAACATATATGAGCAAATGTGTTTAGAGTACTTTTGGTTTACACAGCTAAGACCACCATCACATAAAGAGATATTAAAATACTAAAAGGAGTGTAAATATTTCAGAAGCTTCATATTTGTTTTCTGTATTTTTCAAAAAGATTGTCAGAGCATAATGGAAACACATAGTATAGTTTTGACCCTGCAGTGATGAGCTGAGTTACATCTGTGTTTTTGAGTAAATAACTAAAAATGCTTTTTACAACAACATTTATTACAGGGCTTCAGCTGCTTTCAGAGTAGTACCTTTTCTAAAAATATTTTTGAACTACTGCAGCTTTAATTAGACAAAGTGTTACATTTTAATTTCTGACATTTAGCACACACAGCTTGAGAACAGAGAGAGTAAAATGTCTTCTCGTATGCAGTGTTATAATGTGCGATTCATTTTACTGAATCAGTTCATTTGGACATGAACCATTTAAAAAAAAAAAAAAGTTATTTACTGATGTCACGCTTTGTGTCGAGGAAGGCAAACGAAGACAAATATAAATTCCACAAGTAGTTTAATATTATCCAAGAAGGTAATTCATATAGACGAGTGGTAAACACAGCAAACCAAACTTAATGCCGGACAAAGACTAGAACCAAAGAGTGAGTTTAAATAAGGCAGGCAGCTGATGACAAACAGGTGATGGGAATCAACTGATGAGCACTAAAGAATCAATGAACTAAACTAGGACAGGAACAGAACCAAACACGGGCAAACAGAAAAAGGAAACACAAAAGACAAGACTCAAGTCCATAGTTGTGACATATCGCCCCCCTTCTGGAAGGTGCGACCTAACGCCGCAGAAAACAAAGGGTGGGATGGAGGGGGACTTCGGAGGAGGACAAAGAAGTGGAAGTGGGATGGTAAGAGGGGATGGCGAAGGGAGGAGCCAGGGAGGATCCAGAAGGGACCAGGGTGGCTTTGATGGCGGGAGGAGAGATTTAGGAGGCTGTAGGGACCAGGGGGAGCAGACGGACGAAGGAGCCAGGAAGACGACAGGACTCAGACCGCAGCCATGATAGTGGCCCACGGTGGAGCCGACGGAGGGAGGAGCCATGGTTGAGGAAATGCCGATGACTCCACGGGACCGATTGACAGTGGCGGAGCAGGTGGTGGTGGAGCCCGAGGCGGAGACAGAGAGCCAACGAGCAAGGGTGAAGCCAAGGATCCAGAGGGCCAAGGCGGAGCAGGTGGCTTCGGCGACTGAGGCGCAGGCAGAAATCCAGAAGGCTGTGGCAGAGCCAGAGCGACAGAGGACTGAGGTGGAGCTGAAGGGAAGGAGGAGCCCAACAGAGCCAGAGAGATGGAGGGATGAGGCGAAGCCGGAGGAGAGTAGTCCCGAGGCGGAGGTAGGGGGACGACTGACCAAGACGGAGCCGGAGGGACGAGGGAGCCCGGTGGAGCTGGTGGACTGACGGGATCTGGTGGAGCTGGAAGCCATGGTGGAGCCACTGGGTCGCAGGACTAAGGCGGAGTCTGGGCCTCAAAGGCTGGAGGCGGAGTCAAGGGATCCTCCAGACTCAACGCCAATGGAGCTGGAGATGGGCAGTACCGTGGCGAGCCCACACCACAGATGGTGAGCTGAGGGGTTGACAGAATCCAGCAGAAATGGCGTTGAGGAAGGGAACAGATCAATGAGAGGAGGCAGGAGAGGGAGGTTGGGTGGGATATATTGCCAATCAGACAGTTCAGATGAAGGTTGAGTGATGAGTATATCCGTATCCAAGTCGATTAACATTCCCGAGTCCAGTGTAAGCTCACCCTCAGCAGTGGTGCAGTGGGTGGAGCTTTCCTTCACCCCCCGCGATCTCCACAGCTATTCCTACTGTCGCTTGTGCTGTCGGCTCTCGCACCTGGTCAGACTTTTCGGGCTCTGGCTCCGGGGCGATCATCCGCTCTGTCACTCCTGATGGCGATGGATCAATGACTGCTTCAGGCTCTGGCTCTCCATCTGCAGTGGGCTCGGGCAGCTCCGCGCGGTAAAATGCTTGGCTGGCCGGGTGATGCTTGGCTGGGCTCTGGGTCGGGCTTTGTTCTGGATCGGGGCCGGACACTCTCCAGACACCGGACGATCGCGTCCCTCCAGCTCAGTCCTGTGGTGTCTGGGAGCTCAACGGGGCAATGGAAATTTGCCCCGATCCAGAAAAGAGACTTTAATGTCTCGTTGTCATAGGGACTGGTGACAGCAAGACGACAAAACTTGAGGGTGTATGAAAGCAAGTCATGGCTATTCCGAGCCACGGCAGTGAATCTAGTGGCGTACTCCATTAAACAAAAAACAGAGAAAAAAACGGAAAATAAACGGGGTAGATCACGGCGCGTTACTCTTTGTTGGTCCGGTATTGTCACACTTTGTGTCAAGGAAGGCACACGAAGACAGAAAAAAATTAAATTAAAGTAGTTTAATAGTATCCAAGTAGAAGATAATCCGTATAGACGGGGGTAAACACACAGCAAACCAAACTTAATACCAGACAAAGACTAGAACAAAAGAGTGAGTTTAAATAAGGCAGGCAGCTGATGACAAGCAGGTGATGGGAATCAACTGATGAGCACTAATGAATCAATGAACTAAACTAGGACAGGAACAGAACCAAATATGGGCAAACAGGAAAAGGAAACACAAGACAACACTCAAGTCCATAATTGTGACATTCCTGCAATGCATTTTAGATATTTTTTAATAGCAGAGTATTTTGATAAATTTTGCTGTTTATAACTATATTTTCAACCTGGTTATATAAATAATGGTGTATTTTATTTATCCGTTCAGGTTTTACGTTGCCAGCCTAATTAATATTGTTGATTCATTCAAAGACACATTCTCAAGAAACATTATGTTTCATTCCTTTATTTTTATGCCATAAAAATATGACAATACATACTGTAAAAGCCTCATTCAAATGCCTCATTCATTCATTCATGACTGGTTAAATTATAAATTTCATACACAAGAAGTGCTTGTAATACAAAGTTTCAGACATCAGTTAGAGTAGTACAAGCTAGAGCTATTTGTACATCTCACCATAATCACTGTATTGCATTTCATTATGTGTTTCACCACACAATAAAAATGGTCATAAAACTGCATATTTTTTGCTCAGCTTAGGCTTCTGAATAATATAGAGTTGTTTTTGTACCTTCCTCAAGTATGAGCTGCATATTCATACTAGACATGTGCCGGTATTTGATAATGCGATAAATCACGATAATGAATATGCACAAGATATTGTTTGAAAATGTTTTAAATCATTATTGTTCGGTCACAATTTACATTAAGGCTCTATTAGTTAACATTAGTTCATTCATTAGTTAACATAAACTGCCAATGAAAAATTCTTCTGAACATTCATTAATCTTAGTTAATTTCAACATTTAATAACATGTTGTTAAAATCAAAAGTTGCTACTGTCTTATTTAACGAACCCAAGCTAACATGAACTAACAGGTGTATTTTTAAACAAAGATTAATAACTTCTGTAGCAAATGTAACTGTTGCTCATTGTTAATGTTAATGCATTAACCAAAGTTAACAAATGAGATATTATTGTAAAGTGTTACTTATTGGTCTTTATAATTCTTTTGCACTTTAATCTGTGTGAATTGTTTTACTTTATACATTTTTGTGTATTGCTTTATTGTATTTAAATGCTCATTTATTCTTATTATAAGAAAACCTGTTAAGCCTGTTATACTTTAAATTATTATGACAACACTTTTTTTGCAACTAAATTTCAATGTTGTGGTAATACCGTATACAGTGATAAAAGCATTAGCAATTAATCGCAACATGAAATTTGATACCGTCACATGCCTAATTCATACTATACCACACTATATGAGCCATAAAGCCTGTTGTATTCAATTTGATACAAAACATAAAACCTTTCTTTTATATTTTGTCTAAAAGGTCAACAAAAATATGTCAGGCTTTACAGGGTAAAAGCAGCTTCCCCAACACTGCACCTGTCTCCACTTTTTAACAATAAGTCCCTGGTACAGTATGTTTGGGATTCCCTGTAGACTGAAAAATTACGCCTGAAACACTGTACAGAAAATAGAGACCACAGCTAGTTGTCAGAAGCAGAACCAATAGGCTTTCCGCAGCCTCCGGACAGTTTGAGGCCAGCAGAGGACCAGAACACAGAATCTGTTCCTGAACCAGACTGCATGTCCTGGGGAGGCTCAGCAGGAGCTCGGTTATAATTTGCCTCAAAGTGCTGGAAGCTGTCTCAGTGGAGCTCCGGTTGAACCTCTCACAGTCATGTCATCAGAGCAGAGAAGCAACTTAGTCTGTGAGGACCAGACTGTGAATGTCACTGGCTGTGTCTAAACATGGCACAAGTACAGCTGACACGGGGCCAGGACATGGTCAGGAAGACACAAGGGGCTTAAGGTGCAGAACTAGATACTAAGCAGGAGAGAGACCAGAATATAATGCTTTGCCCTTTCTTTGGACTCCTCTCAGTTCCTTAGAGCTACCCCTCAAGAACTGGGTCATGAAGGAGAACAAAGAGAGTTAATAGCTCATAGAAAACCCTCTGGTTGCAAGCAGGACCTGAAAGAAATTAAACCACTTAGGAGCTAGTATTTTAGCTAGTTTATTTTGTATTTTTTTGGTCAGTGTCAGGCAAAGTCCATGTCTATTTTTAACAATTGCTGTGGTTGTGCCTGCATTTTTATTATTATTTATTTTTATTTATTTTTTTAAATCTACATTTGGGGATCAATATACTGATCTAAACTGGTTTTTGCTGAAATAGATTGTGTGTGTGTTTAAGTGCAACATTTTCATGTTGAGTATTGTAAATGATGTGCTGTATTTAAGTAAACACATTCACTTTTTCCCTATCAGTTTTGATAATATTTGTGTCTTGAAGAGAAATGAATACATTTATATTAATTTAGAAGGATGCATGTAACAAGCTCAATTTGCATATTTGTCTATGTTTTTCCCATCATTTTGTTGTTTGTTTGCTCAGCGTCTTGAAATGGGGCATCAGGCTCATTGAATATTTATGCTTCTTAAGTGTTAATAATTGACACCGCTGGCATATTTCCTTAGGAAGAGCTCATACACCCAGAACGGAGAATTATTTATCACTGGTTCTTGGCTACTGGGACAAAACAAGACTAACAAAGACAAAAAAATGTATATGCAATTATAAAAAAAAATAAAATGTGTGTGGTGCACTGTAAAACCGAACAGTGAAATTAATTAAATGAAATGAGTTAACTTCACTCAAATAATAATGAAAGTTAATTGGACTTAATTGAAATAAGTTCTGTAAATTTAAAATGTTGTTGTAGTAAGGTGAACTTAAAATTATTGCGTTTTCTAGTTCCCAGCATGCTTTGCATCAGACAACAAGGAAAATAAATGTAGAAATTAAGTTTTAATTTGTGTGTTTTTACACAAGATTAACATAGAGAGACATAAGTTAGTACTTAAATGTTGTGTTATGTTAGGATTTACATAGGTTTCTGTTATGTTGGTTTTGTAGTGTTACCGTTGTGGTGAAGAGTAGAGCCTGCAGTTAGGTTGAGGATGGACAGCAAAAATTAAAGACTTTTTATACTGCATGCTGTTTGACTATTTACATGCAAGAATTGTGAGTCTGTAAGATAACTACATTAGTACGTGCCAGTGTGCCGTTGCTCTATCTAGCACTTAACTATAAAGATCTGAATGAATGTGCTGTTAATGGAAGCAAGTTATATATAATTATCGTTGTGATGAGTGGGGTGGGATCATGGAAGGGAGGCTTGGCTTGGCTCCCATGGCTCTCAGCCCCGCCCCGCTTGTCATAAAAATGTTAAGCTCTACTAACTTAAAAAAAATTGAGTTTGTTTACTCAAATATTTTGAGGCAATAAGTTTCCACAAATGTTTTGAGTATTCTTAACTTATCAGGTTTTACAGTGTGGGGGTGAGGTGGCAGGGTGTAGTAGTGTTTCTTTAAAAGATCTGTATTTTAATTTATCTTAATTTCTGCATTTATATGTTTAATTTATACTTTAATCTATATGAATTATTGAAATATGGTCTGAGGACAGTAGTGAATGATAATGTAATCATTTTGGTTAAACAAAATGAAATTAAATGGTACATTTGTGTTAAAGGAAGTCTACCCAAAACTAAAAATTCTTCATTTACTAACCCTAATGTCATTGCAAACCTGTTTCTTTCTTCTGTGGAGCACAAAAGACGATTTTTTGAAGAATGTTGATAACCAAATATTTTTTGGTTCCCATTGTATACACAAAAATATAATGGAAGCCAATGGGAACCAAAACTATTTGGGGGCAGTCGTGGACTGAATCGGAGTCTCAGGTCCGGCAGGAATTGTAGGAGGGAGGAGTGAATAACCAGAGCTCTCTCCACCCTCACCCTGTGTGTGTTCACTGCTGTGTGTGTGCACTTGGATGGGTTAAATGCAGAGCACAAATTCTGAGTATGGGACTCCATACTTGGCCACACGTCACTTCACTTCACAACTATTTGATTATCAACATTTCTTCAAAATATCTTCTTTTATGTTCCACAGATGAAAGTCATACAGGTTTGGAATAACATGAGAATGAGTAAATGAAGAATTTTCAGTTTTGGGGCATACTATACTTTAAAAATATTGTAGTAATAACTCATGATTAAATTCAAAGTGAATTTAATGTGAAAACATTGCTATTATTTTAGGG